GGAAGAATGCTCGCCGGCGGGTCCGGGGTCAGGGGGGAGGAGCAGACCAAACAAGAAAGGGCATCGGGTTTACCTTTTCTAGATCCTGTGCGATAGAAGACAGAGAAGTCAAAGCATGCAAAAAACAAGGCCTGCCTAGCCTGACGTGGGTTAAGCCTCTTCGCCCCCTTGAGGTATTCAAGGTTTTTATGGTCTGCCCAGATGACGAATGGCTGCTGAGAACCCTCGAGCCAATGGCGCCACTCTTTCAAAGCCACCTTGATGGCCAAGAGTTCCCGGTCCCCTACGTCATAGTTCCTCTCTGCGGTTGACAGTTTATGGGACAGAAAGGCACATGGGTAAATGCGGTTGTCAACAACCGACCACTGGGACAAGACCGCCCCAACACCAGAGGCTGAAGCATCCACCTCCACCACAAACTGAAGTACGGGGTCAGGAATGGTGAGTATAGGAGCCAAGACAAAGGTGTCATTCTACTTGCAAAAGGCTGCGTTAGCTCTGGGAGACGACACAAACCTGGATGACGGAGAAGTCAGGGCATGCAAGGGGGCCGCGATAGTGCTGAAGCCTCGAATGAACTTCCAGTAGAAGTTGGCGAACCCCAGAAACCGCTGCACATCTCTCCTGGAAGTCAGAACCAGCCAGTCCCTAACCGCCACCACCCTGCCGGGGTCCATCTGGATCTTGCCCTGACCCACCAAGAGGCCAAGAAAAGAAACAGAGCAAACATGGAACTTGCACTTCTTTGCCTTAACAAAGAGGCCATGGTGGAGAAGGCGCTGGAGAACCCGACAAACATGGTCAGTGCGTGACAATAAATCATGAGAGAAGACAAGAATGTCATCCAAATAAACAAAAACAAAGGTATTGAGCATGTCTCTAAGCACATCATTTATTAGTGACTGAAAGACAGCAGGAGCATTAGTGAGGCCGAATGGCATTACAAAGTGCTCACAATGTCCACTAGGGGTGTTAAAAGCAGTCCTCCATTCATCCCCCTCCCGCATCCTCGCTAAATGGTAAGCGTTTCTTAAGTCCAGTTTGGTGAACCCCTTATCACCCTGCAAAAGGTCAAAAACAGAAGACAATTAAGGGGAGGGGGTACCTGTTCTTGACGGTAATCTCGTTGAGTCCACGGTAGTCAATGCATGGCCTACGGGTCTTGTCCTTCTTGGCAACAAAGAAGAACCCCACCCCAGCGGGAGAGGAAGAGGGACGGATAAGTCCGGCCCATAGAGCAGAGTCCACATACTCTTTCATGGCCCAGTGTTCTGGGGCCGAGAGGGAATAGAGGTGACCCTTGGGCGGTGAGGTACCACGGTAGAAGGTTAATGGCACAGTCATACAGCCGATGCGGAGGTGACAAGGCTGACCAGGACTTACTGAAAACCTCCTTCAAGTCATGATAGCAGGCAGGAACTGAATACAAATTCGGATAATCCTCAGCTGGCGTAGCAGCAGTTGCAGAGCATGGCAAACTGTGAATCCTCCAGACAATGGCAAGACCAAGCACTGACAGAACCAGTCCTCCAGTCAAAAGCTGGGCCTTGCTTGACTAGCCAAGGATGTCCCAAAATCACCGGGTGCAGGGGAAAAGCTGAAACAAGGAAGTTGATGGTCTCGGTGTGTTGGTCTGGGAAGGCGAGCACCACAGGAGCCGAGCGATGAGACACGGAGCATATCAGACATCCATCCACAGCAGTAACCTGCAGAGGTCTCTTGAGAGGTAGCAATTGGAGCCTCAGTCGTTCTGCAAGAGACAAATCCATGAGGTTTGCATCGGAGCCAGAGTCTATGAGGATGGTCTGTTTGACGGTTTGCTCGGGGCTTGTCAAAAGAACCATGGGATTGGTCCTCCTGGTTGTAGCCAAAACCTGGGTACGACTCACCTTGGGCCTTGAAGTAGGACGTGGCCTCCAATTAAAGGGACAGTTGGGCAAAATGTGACCAGCCTGGTCGCAGTGCAGGCATAATCCCAACCTCCGCCGCTGCCATTCGTCCGCAGAGAGGCGGCTTTGGCCGAGCTCCATAGGTTCAGCTGGTTCAGGCAAAAAGGGAATATCAACGACCGGTGCCTGTCCCGGTGACCGTCGGCTGGAAGAAGGTTGCTCCTAGTCCCCCTGCCACCCCGCCACAGGGTGGTTAGATGTTGCTGTGGGTGACTCCCTCCGCCTTTCGAGGAGCCTCTTGTCAATATTAATGGCAAGGGCAACGAGAGCGTCCAGGGTCGTGGGGAGGTCAAGAGGGGCCAGACAGTCTTTAATGGTGTCCAAGAGACCGTGCAAAAAGGCATCACAGAAGGCAGGTCGATTCCAGTCACTACCTGCTGCCAAGGTCCGGAACTCGATGGCATAATCAGCTACCCGTCTTCGGCCTTGCTGCAAACTGTAGATGGCCTGGGCGATCTCACGGCCGGGGCGGAAGTGGTGGAAGACCTGCTTGAAGCTGTGAATAAAAAGTTCCAAAGAGTCACATATAGGAGATTGGCACCCCCACTCGCTCGTAGCCCAAGCCTCGGCTCTCCCTGTCAGATGGGAGGTGATAAATGCCACCTTAGCTCTATCTGTGGTGTATGAGTTAGTCAAAAGTTCAAAGTGCAAGGAGCACTGGGTTAAAAAAGCTTTATAGTTCCCCAAATCTCCAGAGAACCTGTCCGGGCGAGCCAGGTGGACCAGCGGAGAAGGCAGAGGATGAAGAGATGTAGATGCCTGAACAGTGGAGGTGGACCCGCAACGTCATCAGCAGAGACGGAGCCGGCAGTAATGGATGCATCCTCACTAGACGAGGGTGCAGCACCGGGCTGCAGACTCTGCACCCGCTCAACGAGAAACATAAGTTGCTCACCCACAGACGTCATGAAATGGTCCTGACGAGCCGACATCTGCGCGAAGCGTTGAGTGAGACCCTCCAGCTGCTGCTCCTGCTGGTGAAGGCGCTGCTCCTGAGCACCCAAATCAGTCCGGACCGGATCCGAACTTGCTGAGTCCATTGTTGGCCAGTTTGTACTGTCAGGGATGGTATGAAGGACTGGACCCAAATGCAGAGTTCGGCAAAACAAAGCTTTCATTTTGGCTAAGGCTTACAGAACAAAAGTGACAAAAGTGACAAAAAAAAAAAAAAAAAAAAAACAGAACTGAGTCAATGGACCCAGAGATCAGTTAATGCCTGGCTGGAACAAGAGAATGAAACTAACGAACTGGCAACTGAAAGAGAACAGAAGCTGGTTATATACACACACAAGAACAGCTGGGAGAAATCAGGGTGATGAGGAACAGGAAACAGAACTGAAAAAGGATGGATGAACAGGTCTCACAACAGGGCGTGACACGTACTCTAAAGGGGCTACGACCTTTGAATACCCCAGAGGTCTAATCCACTCGTCATGCGTGTCGAGCCGACTTTGCTTCACTAGCCGGATCTCCAGGAACTCTCACTATGGGTGCGCAGATTCTGGATGGGTTATGGTTAATTGATAACTAATCAAACATCACTAAATTTAGCCAGATTATTCTTGTAATCCCAGACTTCACATATTTTCCTAAAGCTTGGTTTATGCTTGACGCATTCACTTTCCGCGCGGTGATGCGGCTCGCGGCTGGAACGCGCTTCACAACTCGCAGCGTTTATGGTTTGTGCGGCTCGTCTCTGCGGTGAGCCAATATTCTCCCAAACTGTAGGGGGCAGCATGGAGCTCTACAGCATGCATCCAACACTACACCATAGTAGAAGTAGTAATCACTGTTTACAACATGGTATTTCAGCATTTTTAACAGCGTTCTCGTCTTTTCCGACAGTGCGAGCTATTTCTCTCCAAGAATTATTAACAACATGTTGATCACGGTGATCTCTGAGAGCTGAATCATACAAATGTCTGTATTTACGAACCTCTGCCGTGCCGGTCTGCCATGTTTTTCCGTGTCCGACCGTCCGCGTGGTTAGAAATTTTCCGAGGTGCGCGTTGCGGAAATCTTGGGCCGTGCGGAGACGCGGTGGAGGGGCGTGGTTGTTAAAATGACGCAAAATGACGCAACTTTTCCGTGCGGAGCCGTGCGGACCTCGCGGACGCGTCAAGCATAAACCAACCTTAAGACACTTAGACACTGATAACATCCAAGATCATGTGTCATCAGAGCTGGTTATTGTCTCAGTTGATCGTTCACCTTCAGTTAGTCTGTACAATCATTAGTCATAAAAAATAGTAATATTTTTATAAGCTATATTTTTGCTTCTGTGTCAAATTATTGGTAAGTGCTGGTTTCCTTGGCTACCCATATTACCTACTTCCAGTATCAATCAGATATTTTAGGTTCAACAATAATAATGGGTCATATTTTTATGGATCTTTATACTTTGTTTAATACCTTTTCATATTTTATTGACAGTTTATTATTTGTGACCACTCACAAAATGTTACATAAGTAAATTTTACTTTGAGTGCATTTTATTTAGGATACTTTTAACTTTTATTTGAGTAGAAATTCAGGCAAGTACATTTACTTTTATCTGAGTAAAGATTTATCTAAATATTTGTACTTTCACCTAAGTAGAAAATGTTAGTATTTTTTCACCTCTGTTAGTCATGAAATGTGTAATGAAATGATTAGTTTTATTACAAGATGAATAAACAACTATATTAAAGATATTAGGTGTCTTATTATTTTTTGCAGAGATAAATTAAAACAGACAAATATCAAAAACTTGCATCTAAATCCAGCATAAAGTCTTATACTGTAATCATAACTAGTAATTTTTGTATCTAAACTATTTTATTTAAACTATGTTTGTGTGAGGTGATGCTAGAAAATAAAAATATGTAATGTAAAATATGCTAAGGTCAATGAAAATGTGTATTTGTATGATTTATAAACACCAGAGTGTGAGCGGTTGTGTGTATTAATGCTGGAATAATTCGAGTGACTTGAACAGCTCTATATCAAATCCATTATTATAAATGTCCAGAAATGTTGACAGAATCCTAAGAATCAAGTTGGTCTACTTACTCATGACTGTAATCTTGACCATGTGTCCCCTGTAGGAGTATTGGTCATAATCTTTTATTTCAATCCTGAAATAAAACGGTCCGTTGTCGTTCAGTTGAAGGGGATCGATCTTCAAAGAACAGTTCTTGTTTGCAACCTCTCCCAGCAGCTTTGTCCGACTTCGGTACCCCTGCTGAATTTGAGACTCTATCGGATGAAAGATGATGCCGTTGTTGTCCATCCAAATTCCTGTGAATACAGGGGGCGTTTTTGATGGATATGGATACGAAAATGTGCATGGGATCACCACACACGACCCTCTGAGACCTTGAACTGAGGATGGCAATGTGGCTGTCCAAGCTGAGGCTTTGGTTTCAAACGCTGCAATAAAGTACAAGAACATGAAGTAAAATCCACAATCTGTAAATGACAGCTGGAGCTACACTTAATGAAATCATACCTTTTAAACAAATGCAGAAAAACACCAGAGTCCATCTTGGTGCCCCCATTTCATCTGTCAGAGCCCAGCTTGCAAAGAAAAGATAAACCAACAAGATGAGTTATTATTTCCACCTCGTGACAGATGACTGGTCTAGTTTCCATTCCACTTTTATAAAACTCTGATCCTCTTCATTTCACACTTCAGGGTTTTCTCACTTGAATTTTTCGCTGGGTGTGTAAAGTCTATTTAAGTCCTGATCAAAAAGAAAGAAAAAAAACACCCACCAGCAGTTTTTTAACCGCAATCGTTCCGCCTGGAGAACCTGAGGCAGGTTTCAGTTCTTTACTTTAGAGCTGTCTGTGGCGTCTTATTGTTGACTGATTTTGGAATTATATTGTTTTCAAAAATGGATTATAAATCTGTAAAAGCAAGAATGTGTGTGTAATAATTACTCCTGTCAGTGTTTTAACTAACTTGTCTGCATGTGTGGATGAGGATGGCATTAAGAAGCATCAAAGTCACTTAAGTCTCTTTACTTCTGCATACTGATGTTCATTTAAAACACAAACAAGCCATCTTCATCATGTCTAGCAATTAAACAGGTATACCTAATAAAGTGGCCAGTGGACTGACAGAAAACTTCCATTAACAGCAGCTTCTCTTCCGCTGACTTGTGTTCAGCCACTTTATTGGCACAGAGATCTCAACAACATGATTGTAATATTTGTTGTTGTAAAAAGAACCGCCTTAACCTTTTAACAGTGTTGGCGGCTCTGGGGTCAGGAGTTCACCGTGGCTCTATGCCAGTCATTGTGTCTTTGGGCAAGACACACCACCCCCTCTCCTGCTGGTGGTGGAGGGACTGGTGGAGCTGAAGGTGTTCTGCTCATAGCTCACCATCATCAGTGGGTTAATGTGTGCAGAAATTATTGTAAAGCCTTGACTTTAAAAAAAGCACACAACAAATGTGGGCTATCAATATTATAATGAATAGAAAAGAATAGACTAAAGTGTAGAATGTATTAGCAGCTTTACATTTATTAAAGCAAGTCATCAGAAGCAATGCATCCATTTATAAACATTAGGACAAAGCTATGATTATCACTTTAATCGATTTCTCCTTATTTTGTCCTTTATCATAAATAAGCTCATTGGTTAGGGAGCTGAGACCAAAAGCTTTGGAAGGAAAGGAACAGATCCATCTTGGTCAGCTGTTGACTTTGCAGCTGTGAGGACAACATCTTTGTGAAGTTTGTTTCTCCAAAGTCCCCCAATCCAGATTTGAGCCTCATTTCATCATCTACTGGTGAGTTTTGTTTATGATGTTAGTCATGTGATTTCATCTCCATCTGTTTTGTTGTTTAGTTGTTTTCTTCCCAAGTGGCACAGCGATGCAGCAGTTTCTCTTTTTCGTGACTTTTCCAATGAAACGCCTGGACCTTCTCTCCTCTTTTGCTCCCATGTTTGGTTCAAGTTTTGAAAGTGCCGAACATTACAGGCACATGCCTGGTTCCCTCAGCTCTGCTCTGAAACAGGGCTGCTTTTCCATTCCAGCACTCTTCCTGACTTGTGAGATGCATCTTCTTGGATTAAATGTGGAATTAACATTTCCAGCAATACGATACAGAAAATGAAACTTTTTCATTTCCTGAACAGAAAGTGCTCTTTGAAAGCAACAAGAGTCACATTCATTAACTGTTCAAGCAAAGAAATTCAAATAAAAATTAGTTTACAACAAAACAGAAAAGTTTTGCTTTCTCACCGTAGACATAAGAAGTCTTTAAAACACTGATTGCCCATACCTTAGTAGTTGAGTTTCATACGACTCTAATTTCTTTCTTTCCTTCGCTTCGTTGAGGGTTTTTGGAGTCCCGGCATACATGAGTTAAACTCAGACTTCAACTCTTTGAACCACGTGCACAAAAAATAAGTTTTCCTCCTAAGTCAAGTGAAGTTCAGTGACAGCATTTTCATATTTGATCAAGGTTTAACTTCCTTTGACAGCTTCACACCTCTCTGAAAGAATAAAGACGACGGCATTTGTGGTTGACTTCTCAGTTATTCTGCATTTCTCAAGTTTCCCATGACATCTTGTAAAATAGACTTTGCAAAAGTCTTCAGCCTGCTCTGAGCAGATGTTGTTCATGGGCCCTGGTCTTCCATGAACGCAGGGTTAAGGATTTCTCTTCCGTTTGGGTAGAAATGCTCACTATCCTGGACGTCCAGGCCAACATAAGTGATGCTTCGAGTGAGCCGGATCTTCTTCACAGACAAACTTTGCTTCCTCTTGACGCGCCAGAGATACTCGTCACGTTGGGTCAAGTGGTCCTCCAGCTTGATGGTGTCCTCCCTCTGCCGGCCCCAGTACAGCTTCCTTGGAGTGGGAGCAACAAAGCTGGTGGATGCCGAGTTACCCATGACAACAAACTTCAATTTGCAAACTGCTATCCTGGAAATAAAACAAAATAAAATCCTAAATATGTGACATTTTCTTTAAATTAAAGAAAAATGTGTACTTTTAACCAAAGAAACACACACACACACACACACATGCTTTTATTTTTACCTTGTAACGAGATGATTCCCTGCCTTCCTTCTGATTTGTCTCCTGAGGTTCTGAAGCTTGTGAAGAGCTGGTCAAACTGATTTTAAACGTAAACAGAAGCCATTACCTCATCTGATCAAGCTGTTCTCTCAAAGATAAAACAGAGCAGCAACAATGGGACTGGATCAATGCTGATGAATGAGAGGTTGCTTTAATCAGCGGGTGTGAAGTGGTTTCGTCCACCGTCGCTAACCTGAGAGGAAGTGAAACCTCAATGATCAGATCAAATAATCACTACAAAAGCAACTTTAAGTCTTTGCACTGTTTCCTTGTTGACTGTTGGGTTGATGTCATTCAAGAAATGGTGATGATGTTTTTTTTAGGTGTTTCTGCTCCGAGGAGCTTTGTCAAAGACTGTTTATCTAGTTTTCCAAAAGTTCAACGTACCTTTTATACTTCTCCAAAAATGTGTTGTCATCAAACCAGTTGTTTGTTTCTCTCCTTTAATTAGTACTAATTAATGTTTACTAAGGTTGGAAGGCCTGATAAGTCACCAATGACTATGTCACTATGATGTATGATTACTAAGGTTGGAAGGCCTGATAAGTCACCAATGACTATGTCACTATGATGTATGACTTGTAAGGATCATGCATCTATCGAATGAGCAACACAGCTATAAATATTTGGTAGCACACAAGAAATTGTGGGGTTTTCCAATAGTGAAACATTGTTAGGAAATATCGCACCTCAGATAGAAAATGATGAGGTGTTGATCTATTTAGAACATTCAACGTGTCCAGTTTGTCCAGGAGGAGTGGTCTGTCACCGACACGTGGCTGCTAGCCCTCGAAGAAGGCACTGATCACAAGGTGACGACCACAGAATCAATACTGTATAGAATTACACCCTTGGTAATTCTTAAAGGGGGGTTTATTGTGTGAAATAAAGTTTCTGAACAAATTTTAATTTACACATGAACCACATCCTATACATTACAAATAATTCACAGATATGTTAAGACAGAAATGTTTTGACCCGTATTACTTGTGAACGTTGTCGTTGCCCTGAGTTAAATGGCGCCAAAGCATCGACATGGTCACTTTTCTCTGTTAAATTATCTCTTATTCAATGATTGAAATCGCAACTTCTTACAAACGTGTGATGGGTGAAGTCCATCATTAACTAGGCTGATTGTGTCAGAACTAGGTTGTGTGCAGGGTTATAAGCTCGTTGTTGAACAGGAATACATTTAAATGCAGCCTAATGTAACACTTTATATGCAACATTTCAAGCTTCATGATTGCTTTGCTGATCAGCCCTTTACAAAAACCTGAGAAGCATCAAAACACATACCAATGCTGCGGGCCCCACCTAAGAGTTGAGTAGCTGAGTTAGTCAGGATCCCAGGAGGCTGAGGTGGGCATACTTTATTTTCATCGCTAAAATGTGGCAACACTGAGTTTCTCATCCTGTCTGTTTGACTGCTGCTGAAGAAACTTCTGCTTCTCTGGAAATTCGGGATCTCTGAAATGTACCAAACGACCACTAGAGACTGAAAAAGTTTCTTCAAAGAAAATACTCAATAATTCCTCATCCTTTAATCTCATTTGGTTTCTCTGTGTGTATTTATCTGACACCGTAACATGTTAAGTATGAAATTAATGCAATCAGATTTGGAATACATATAAACACAAAGTTAAATATTTGAGTCTAAAATCAAACTGGGTTATAAAACTAAGTTTAACAAGTACATTAATACACATTAGACAGACTACTCAAGGTAAATCAACTATTGAAGTTTCTAATGTTATTAAGTCAGAGAATAAATCATGACCCTTCCCCTTCTGAATTCAGTACAATCAAATTCAGTTATACTCAAACCTTTTGTTAGTCAAAACTACACTTTCTAATTTCTTTTTTGAATTTTATTATTATTATTATATTTATTATTATTATTATTATTATTGTAATGCCAGTCACAACCTCTTGATGTCCTCAGTTGTTCTTGTGAACTTCACATCCGTTTCCCAATTCTTAACTTGTGGTTTTGTTCTTAAACAGCTTAATTCTAATTTTATGGGGCTTCCATATCTAAGAAAAAGCCCTGGAAATCATGAAACTGTCCACATTATTTTACTTAAACCAAGGGCTTCAGAACAATGTTGTTGGCAGAGCTCTGACAGCACCATATAGATAGGTGTGTGTGTGTGTGTGTGTGTGTGTGTGTGTGTGTGTGTGTGTGTGTGTGTGTGTGTGTGTGTGTGTGTGTGTGTGTGTGTGTGTGTGTGTGTGTGTGTGTGTGTGTGTGTGTGTGTGTGTGTGTGTGTGTGTGTCAAAGTCAAAGTCAGTTTTATTGTCAATTCTGCCACATGTACAGGACACACAGAGAATTGAAATCACGTTACTCTCAAACTCTCGCTAGATAGAAAATAAACATTTAGTACAAAAGAGTTCAGAGTGTCATGGCAGGAGGAAGTTTCTTGACCCACGACATGCAGAATCACCATACGGAGAACAAGAAAGTAAGTAAAAGGTTTTTATTACTACATAAAGAGCGATGTGAGAGACGGGAGCAGACGAGACGCAGGACTGGCAGCAGGAATCCAGGGGGGAGATTCTAAGGAGGGAGACAGAGTGAATATGAGGCGAAAACAAATGGAAACGTTGTCGGA